CATAGGTCGATCCCATCAGAATACGATGGCTGATTCGCGATGTACCGCAACCGTTTGACTCTAATACGACCTTTAAGTGGATGCAGTACACGAGACATACATCTTCATTTCGGGCAAGAACGGGCTAAGCTTTCGTCCATCATATGACGAGCATCGTCAGAGATGGGATTAAACTTGCAAAAGCTTCAAGTTAACACTAAGTCAAGAAAATATTCACGAAGATGATAGTACAACTATTCCCCCTGATTTGGTTCTGCTAATCGTCACGCTTTCTACGTATTTGATGTCACAAGAAACACTCATATACTCGTGGCCGGTTTTGCTTGCATACTTTAACACACACATACACAGACACACTCGAATATAAAAGAATTATCCAAACTTTTCTATATCTATCCATATATTTTAAAAATTTGCTCGTTATGGGCATATTTACCAAGTAGGAAATAGCCTATCATTCTTCTTGACTTAATGTTAACTAAAGACTCTTGCAAGAATGCGTCCTAGCTCTGATGATGTTCGTCAATATGATGAACGAAAGACTATCCAGTCTTCGCCCTAAACGAGGGAGGATATCTCGTGGACTGCGTCAACTTGAAGTTCATAGTAAATCCAAACGACTGCAAAACATCGAGAATCATCCGTCGTCTTCTGATGAGACCAACCTTTGAATCTCTTCTTTGTGAAGTTTTATTCGAAATGAAAGCCTTCGCAACAGTTTTCTCACCCAGTGGTTTTGCTGTCAGTCCTTAAATCACCTTAAGCGACTTGGGCTGACTGAATTTCCTATTCAGCCTCCCTTCACCATCTTGCCTTCAAGCCTAGAGGGACCCGAACTCTCAACAGTCACCTCTGCACTAGCGAGCTTTGCAGATTCTGTGACGGCCCCCGATGGGGAGCAGTCAAGCGAGGTCTTCTTCTGCTGGAAGATGAGTCGCGTCCTGACGACAATCGAGTAGAAGTTAGCGGAACGATCCGACACTAAGAAAAGAAGCCCCCTCGAGTCGATAGATGTGTAGGGTGGGCTACTCAGATTCTAATAAAAACAATCGTCGGATGACACTCATATTGATTCTGCTGGCTTCGTCCGCCACTTCTATACACAATGTTGGCTAAAAATTGTGGCCATGAATAAGGTGCATGTAGAAGAAGTGCCTTGATTATTGATATACAATCGAAAGAGAACTTGACCTCAAAGTTCAGAGCAATGAATGAAATCAATAGTCAGAAACTGGGTAAGTAGTTATCCTGTTTTAGTGCCAACGCTGAAACCTGTGTTCAGCCTACGGATCCAGATGCATAAAAATGGAGAAGAGAAAATAACAGATGACTTGGTTTGACATCGTTCTGGCAACATCCTGAACTGCGTCATTTGCTCTTCCATGCTTTGCATGCTCCTTCTGCCTCGTACCATCGACCGAAGGCAAGTTCAGTAGTCAAAATTGTGAGAGGGGCGGCCATTCACACTGGAAGTTGGCCTAGTTTCCACCTCGACAGTGGAAAGAGAAAAGTTGTTATCAAACCCCCTCAGAAAGAGTTGGATCGGTCATTCGAAGAAAAAAGTAGACGCCGCATCAGCATGACTAAATACCTGTTCGGGCTATCTGACGGCCTAATAATCGAGAATCAATTAAGTACTGTGATTCTAATTTGCATCTCGAAGGAGAAGTTTGCTGGAAGGGATTGATAAATTGACCTCACTGAGAATCTAATGATTGTCTGTTCAAGAAAGTCATCGAATCACC